ATCGTATTCTTCTTCTCGTTCCCAAGTGGCTTCAATTCCATGATGTTCCCTCCTTTCCAATTTTACCATTGGGATAGTTTTGTTCCGTAGTTGCTTGACTTACCAATCAAGGATGCGAAGGGGTTTCTCCTCATAAACCATGCCATCATCTAGCACAATTTGATAATAGTAAATAATATGAGAAGGATCACGAAGGTAGCCTCGCAACATTGATATATGAAACACATTGTGCACTTGCTCCATGCCTGGTAGTAAAGCAATCCAATAGGCAACCAGACCTAATCTTTCCAAAAAATCTAAAACGGCCCTATGTACCGGGGTGATTATTTCTTTTTTTTTCCCCAAATCTTGTGTGCCCTTTCATTGGAGTGACTTTGACAAAAACATGATCCCCAACTTCAAACTCCAAGTCTCTCCTTCTTTGATCCGCATAGCTCTTTTCTCGGCTCTGAGCAGTTTTCAATCTCTGTTGGATGATTTGAATCTTTTCCGTAGTAACTTGCACAATTTCAAGCCCAATCAACGACCTATCCCCAACCTCGGTCCAACAATTCGAAGTTTGACATTTTCTCTCATACAAAGCTTCATATGGTGCCATTCCAATACTGAAGTGGAAACTGTTGTTATAAGAAAATTCCGTTAAAGGTAAATGAGTTTCCCAACTTTCACGAAAATCCAAAACACACATTCTGAGCATGTCCTCCAACGTCTGTATAGTTCTTTCAGATTGTCCATCGGTTTGTAGATGAAAAGTGGTACTAAACCTCAACTCCATCCCCATTGCTTTTTGTAAGCTTTGCCAAAACCTTGACATAAACTTAGAATCTCTATTCGACACAATGGAAATCAGAACACCATACAATCGAATAATCTCAACAATGTACACAGTAGCAAGTTGATCAGCATTATAAAAGTTTTCACAAGCAAAAAGTGAGCAGACTTAGTCAATCTATCCACAATAGCCCACATAGAATCCATACCTCAGGTGTTCGGGGTAAGCCCACAATAAAGTCCATAGTTATATGCTCCCACTTCCATTCCAGAATAGGGAGAGATTGAAGTAACCTCGCCAGTCTTTGGTGCTCCGCTTTCACTTGTTGACATTGAAGGCACCTTGAAATGAATTCCGCAATTTCTCTCTTCATATTAGGCCACAAAAAGGCTTGCTTGAGATCTTGGTACATTTTGGTATTCCCGGGATGCATAGCAAACCTAGACTTGTGAGCTTCTCTTCAATTCCATGATGTTCCCTCCTTTCCAATTTTACCATTGGGATAGTTTTGTTCCGTAGTTGCTTGACTTACCAATCAAGGATGCGAAGGGGTTTCTCCTCATAAACCATGCCATCATCTAGCACAATTTGATAATAGTCAATAATATGAGAAGGATCACGAAGGTAGCCTCGCAACATTGATACATGAAACACATTGTGCACTTGCTCCATGCCTAGTAGTAAAGCAATCCAATAGGCAACCAAACCTAATCTTTCCAGGCCCTATGTATCGGGGTGATTATTTTCTTTTCTTTTTTTCCCAAATCTTGTGTGCCCTTTCATTGGAGTGACTTTGACAAAAACATGATCCCCAACTTCAAACTCCAAGTCTCTCCTTCTTTGATCCGCATAGCTCTTTTGTCGGCTTTGAGCAGTTTTCAATCTCTGTTGGATGATTTGAATCTTTTCCGTAGTAACTTGCACAATTTCAAGGCCAATCAACGACCTATCCCCAACCTCGGTCCAACAATTCGAAGTTCGACATTTTCTCTCATACAAAGCTTCATATGGTGCCATTCCAATACTGGAGTGGAAACTGTTGTTATAAGCAAATTCCGTTAAAGGTAAATGAGTTTCCCAACTTTCACGAAAATCCAAAACACACATTCGAAGCATGTCCTCCAACGTCTGTATAGTTCTTTCAGATTGTCCATCAGTTTGTGGATGAAAAGTGGTACTAAACCTCAACTCCATCCCCATTGCTTTTTGTAAGCTTTGCCAAAACCTTGACATAAACTTAGAATCTCTATCCGACACAATGGAAACCGGAACACCATGTAATCGAATAATCTCAACAATGTACACAGTAGCAAGTTCATCAGCATTATAAAAGTTTTCATAAGCAAAAAGTGAGCAGACTTAGTCAATCTATCCACAATAGCCTATATAGAATCCATACCTCAGGGTGTTCGGGGTAAGCCCACAATAAAGTCCATAGTTATATGCTCCCACTTCCATTCTAGAATAGGGAGAGATTGAAGTAACCTCGCCGATCTTTGGTGCTCCGCTTTCACTTGTTGACATTGAAGGCACCTTGAAATGAATTCCGCAATTTCTCTCTTCATATTAGACCACCAAAGAGCTTGCTTGAGATCTTGGTACATTTTGGTATTCCCGGGATGCATAGCAAACCTAGACTTGTGAGCTTCTTCCAAGACTCTTCCTTTAATTTCGAGGACATTAGGAACACACAATCTTCCCTTGAATTTCAACACTTGAGCTTCCAAAGAAAATCCCAGTCTCGGTTTTGCTTCCATTTCATCATGTATTTTGTTGAGAAATTCATCCTCCAATTTGCTTTGTTTAATTTCCTCAATAATAGCCGGTTGTGTGGTCATTACGGCCAATATTCCATTCCGTTCATGCAGCACAATTTCCACCTCCATTCTTTCCAAGTCAAGCAATAGTTTATTCCACTTCGTAAGCAAACATGCTAAGTTTCCTGTTGACTTTCTACTAAGAGCATCTGCTACCGTGTTGGCTTTGTCGGGATGATAATGAATCTGCAAGTCATAATCCTTGATGAGTTCTAACCACTCTCTTTGTCGCATGTTAAGCTCCTTTTGAGTAAAGAAATACTTGAGATTCTTATTGTCGGTGAAGACTTCACATGTTGCTCCATAAAGATAATGATGACATATCTTCAATGCAAATACCACAACAGCTAATTCCAAATCATGCGTAGGGTAATTCTTTTCATGTGGCTTCAATTGTCGAGATGCATACATAATTACCCTTCCATTCTACATAAGTACACACCCCAAACCCTTATGAGAAGCATCACTATAAATAACAAACCCTTCTGTACTTGACGATAAGGCAACGACCGGTGCTGTTGTGAGTCTTGTCTTTAATTCTTGGAAGACAAACTCCCTCTGTTCTATCCACTCATATGGAACACCTTTTTGGGTTAACTAGGTGAGTGGCACCGCAATCTTGGAGAAATCTTTAACAAATCCTCGATAGTAACCCACTAAACCCATGAAACTGTGTACTTCTGTAACATTGGTAGGAGCAGGCCATTTCACAATAGCTTCTATCTTTTGCAACAGACACACCATCCTTGTTAATTGCATGCCCCATCAACACAACTTCACTCAACCAAAATTCATACTTCTTCAATTTGGCATATAACTTCTTGTCCCTAAGTGTTTGAAGAATCAATCTCAAGTGTTTTTTATGTTCCTCCCTACTCCTCGAAAAAATAAGAATATCATTAATGAATACCACTATAAATTCATCCAAGTACGATTTGAAAACCCGATTCATTAAATCCATAAAAGCTGCTGGTGCATTCGTAACCCCAAATGGCATGACTAAAAATTCATAATGGTCATACCTGGTTCGGAAGGCGGTCTTCTCAACATCCTCTGCTTTAACTTTCAACTGATGGTACCCGGATCTCAAGGAAATTTTTTAAAACACTTGTGCCCCCTGTAATTGGTCAAACAAATCATCAATCCGTGTTAAAGGATATTTATTCTTCACTGTTACCTTATTAAGTTCTCGGTAATCAATACACAACCGAAGGGTCCTATCCTTCTTCCTCACAAACAAAACGGGTGGGCCCTATGGCGATGTACTCTGTCGGATGAACCCTTTGTCAATCAATTCTTGCAACTGTATTTTCAATTTTTTCATTTCTACCAGAGACATTCTGTATGGAGCCTTGGAAATCGGTTGAGTACCCGGTACAATATCAATGACAAATTCAATCTCATCGTCTATTAAGTCCCCTGGCAATTCTTCAGGAAATACATCTGAAAACTCACTAACAATCTGAATATTTTCAACACCCACCTCAGTTATCTCTGCATGCAAAATACTACACAAATAACTCCTACAACCCTTCTGAGTAGTTTACAAGCTTTCATAGCCGATATCAAATAGGGTGGAGGGACCACCCCCACATCCCACAAAAGTAAACTCATCTTGACCCGATGGGCGAAACACAACTTGTTTAGACACACAATCAATGGTTGCATGATACTTAGCTAACCAATATCCATTCCCAAAATTATATGAAAGTGTGCCATATCAAGAGGTATCAAATTAGCACATAATGGAATATCTCCAAGTAAAAGCTCACATGCAGGATACATAGAAGCACATCACACATAGTCCCCGGATGGGAGAGACACACACAACACATAATTCAAGGGTTCCATAGATCTATTCAAATTAGGAGCAAATGTTTTCAAAACAAAGGAATGGCTAGAACCCAAATCAAGTAGCACATGAGCAGGTTGGCCATTGATGGAAAGCGTACCTGAAACCACAGCATCTGAATTTTGGACATCACCCAGAACAAGAGCAAAGACTCTTTATTGCCTAACACTGTCTCTAAAAGAAGTAGGCCTTGCCAAGGTCTTTGTTGCAGAAGTGGAACTGGCTGAACTAGCAGTTGGCCTATTTCCTTTTTGTTGCCCAAACATAAGACAATCTCTCACCATATGCCCGTCTTTCCACAGTTAAAGCAAGCTCCTGATGCTCAATAATAAACCCCTCGATGCTTCTTTCCACACTCTAGGCAAGTTGGTGCCAAATCATGGGTAGAACCCGAAGTGTTGGAAGTTCTCAAATTTTTCTTTTTACTTTGTGAGGACGCCGACCCTTTGTGCACATTAGAGTCTTGCCTTTTGCCCTTCCAGTCCGAGTACCGGTTGCGGCTAGCTTAGTTACCTTCCGCTATGATGGCCTTATCCAATATATCCACATATTTCTGTACCTACAGTATATTAATCTTCTCAAGAATGGAGTCTCGGAGACCTCCCTCAAATTTCCTCACCTTCTTGCAGTCTGTATCGACCATATACGGTGCGAAACGTGCTAGTTCGATAAATTGCACCTCATACTCTGCTACGATTTTGTTCTCTTGCTTCAAGTTTTCAAACTCCGACACCTTCCTGTCTCGGATGCTCTGTGGGAAGTACTTCTCATAGAAGATCTCCAAAAATTGAGCACAATTCATCCCTTGATGCTCTCCTCGAATAAGCGTCCACCAACGGTGCACCTCATCCTCTATTGTAAAAGCAGCTAGCATGACTTTCTGTGCCTCCGTGCATGGAAAGACTTCAAACAATTTCTTAATACCAAGCACCCAAGCCTCTGCCTTTAATGGATCAATTCCTCCTTTGTACAAGGGTGGTTTCATCTTCTTAAATTCTTTTGTGAGAGCAATAGTTCGGTCGTTGGCCTGGTGGTCTTGCATTATAGGTGGTGGCACAGGCATTTGTGGCGGTGGTTATTGTTGTTGTTGTTATCTAAAGACCTCCGCCATGTCCATGATCATTGCCTCCATTCTATCAAGTTGCGCAGAGGTTGAATCTTCCCCATCCTCTGCCCTTAATCTCACCATGATCTAGAGAAACACACATTATAACTTTCCTAAATAATAAACACATAAGTCACATTTACAAATGCACATTTTCATGTCATACTTGATTATGGATGCAACTTAAACCCTTTCTAGACTTCCTATTTCTCGTATGGACTCGTGTATGAGATATTAACTCGTGTTCTGATACCACTCTGTCATGACTTGAACCCGTCCCTAAAAGTTTGGGTCACAACCAGCCGGTAATCACTTGATTACCTTCGGTCTCAAACAAACATACAGAGTAATTATAGTAATGGGGCCAAAAATACCACAAAAGAATTAGTCCATTGAGCTATACTAATATGAGCAAAAAGTAACACATCCACATCATTTACATGCCCATGCAAAAAGAATGTAAGTATTGAAAGAAATTTGTGCATAACATTTACAAACCCAAGACCACAATAGCAAAAACAAAATAAAGTCAAAGTATGATGTAAGTCAAAGATGAAACTCCATCTCGGAGGTGTGACTCAATTGGGTCTCAAAAAGAATGGCTCATCAAGCTAACTCTAGGTGTGTGCTCCATGTTGTGGATAACCTACATGTGCATACATAAGACTGGGTGAGTGAAGCTCAATGAGTAACAATATAGTAAAACAATGTAAATAGATAGTCATAAGATTCTCACAATACCCAAAATCATATAAACAAAACGGCCTTAGGCCCAATCATACTTCAAAACGGCTTGGGGCACAACATATAACAAAACAGCCTCAGGCCCCCAATCATATTTCAAAATGGCATCGAGCCCAATCATATTTCAAAACGGCCTCGGGCCCAACTGTAGCTTGTTTTTCATGCTCCTTTGGGATACGACTAGCCTTACAGTTAGGACTCCTGTGGTTCTGAATCTGATTTCACAAAGTGCAATGTGAAATAGTGAAAACACAAAAAAGTCTAAATCTAGCAATTCTTTTGGAAAATTGATATATGAATCAAATGCCAAAAATGGACTGCTTTGCCAGATTTCAAAGTCGCCATCTAAATATTTTTGAAAAATTTTGGAAACCTGAAACTCGTGCCAAAGGCCACTTATCTGTCATCACCAAATTATCTCGGCTCGGGAACTTAGATACGAAAGGAGAAGGTCATGAATTGAGCACCCCACTCGCCCAATCAAAGATCGACCTCTACTAATCATGATATGATTTTTATTTACATTATATGCTCTTGTTCCGGTTATTAGACTAACATTACTATGTGACGCACACAAGTATAGACTAATTTGCAAAAATTGGAACACTTAGATTTCATGCATGTTTGAAAATTGTTTGAATATGTACCACTTGAAAAAGTGGGCTCGTATGTACATTAAGTAAATTATCCCAATTTAAGCAATTGGCCTTTATCCATAGGCATTCAAACAGTTATATCAATTAAGCACTTAGCCTCATGGTATTTATGCATATGGCAACAGTCACACGCATGCGGTATGCTAAAGCAATAAGTGCTCACCTAGTACTCCAAGGCAAGCCAAAAGAAACAAAAGAGTTAGAAAAAATGCATGATCCTACAGATACAAAATGACTAATGCAATGCATGCAAAGATGCAACTAATAGGCTCAACCACTAACATGGTATTTGAATCAATTTGATAGCATGTGGTCTAAGCACATATTCAAAGATTTTAAGCAATACAATGCTTGGTTAGAATAATGAACTGAGCTTTTATGTATGCAAGACGAGTGGATGCTTTGGACATGAAAAATGCTAAGGAAACATGATGCTCTATTCTACCATCATATGCAGAGAAATAAAAGAGCGAAAGAAATGGGGTTGGAAGACATACACACTTATTACAATTTTGCCCTGATGCAAGAGGGTTTGAATGAGTGTCCAAGTGTCTGAATTAAACTAAATATTTCAACTTCAACTAATGAATAAGAAATGAACTAGCTATCTAATTTATTACAACAAGAATAAGAATGAGCAAGAAACTAGCTATCTAATTTAACTGGCATTAACAAACACAAATAAACAAGTATAATAATTACAACAATACTAATTATATTTAATTACAACAATGCTAATTATATTTAATTACAACTATAATGAGAGCATTTATTTACAACATTGATCCAAACAAGGATGCACAGAGATGGCATGCATGTGACTGTTTTCAGAAGCAGCTTTGTCTGCCTCCTTGGGAGTCTGCCCTGTTTCACCTTCAGCCACTGCCCTCTGTTTCTACCAAAAATGCACTATTTACCAAACATTGGGGCCGTCATGGCCCAAACAAAGCCGGTCGTGCCCTGATTTCATGCAAAACTTGTTTTTGTGCTTTGAAGTGAAAACAGTGCAGACAAAGTTATTCTGAACTTTGTTTGTCCCTTCTACTCTTCTCTGTCATGGAAAGCCTCAAGAGAGGAATGAAGTCATTTCCAAAACCATAAATGAGCAAATTGATTGCTTGATGAGCTAGGACATGATTTTAGACAAAAATCAATGAGTGCAATAAATCAATAACCACCCCTCCCTCCTATCATGGAGTAAGCTCAAAGAGAGAAGTAGACACGCTCCAAGATCTGTCAAAACATCATGAATTGACATGTGATGACTCTTGGCACGATGGACTCGGCATAACGTCCGGCCGAATCCAACCAATTTTATTCATCTTTCTTATGTCAGTTGACTTGCTTTTAAGCCAATTTTATTAATCCTTTTTTATATACCTTTCCATTACTTAATCAATTTGTCCAATAATGAGAGTCACGTCCACTAAAAGGAGAGATGCATCAAATGAGAAGTTGTTTTCAACATTAGAGAGACTTAATGCCCTAATAATGAACCTTCGAAGAGATTAAACCATTTAGCATTGTATGTATCTTTCTCATGTTTAAACAACATTCTATTAGAACAACTCTCAAAAAGAAAAGACAAACCAAGAAAGAAGGTTGCAGAAATGATTATGCAAGGTTGATTTACTGCACAAGTGAGACTCTTTACATGGAATTAAGTAAGAAAGAGCTATCAACTCAAATGACTTGGTGTCTAATGCCTAAACAACCAAAGCCATGAGCACTTACAACACAACAATCATAATATTCAAAGCATAAACTATGTAAATAAATTAAAATAGCCCTAAAACAGCCCCTAAGGTGTAAAAAGCAATAGCCAAAACCATGTTAAAAGAGCACAAAAGATAGGCAAAAATAAAGAGATACAAAGCTAGTAAGCAAAGCTAAGAAGGAGTAGCTAACCCCTCCACTTTTGGGACTTCTAAACCATATTTTAGCCTCTAAAAACAGTCTAAAAACAGCCCCAAAATAGTGGCTAAAATTAGAGAAATAAATGGGAAACACAAGGATATAAGCTTGGAATAAGGTTCAAGGAAGGGTGGTTAACCCCTCCACCTTTGGTAGCTCTTAAATCACAAATTGTAGCCCGCAAAACAGTCCCAAAACAGTGTACAAAGCATGGAAAAGAGAGGAAAAGAGTTAAACAGAAATAAGGAAGAAGATGCAAAAGTTATACCTCTTGAAAGAGAGGATGCTTGTAGTTAAACAAACTTGATTCCAACACCCTCAAGTTTTATGAAATATGGTTTGAAACTTCAACAAAAGCTTCAAGAACAAGCTCTAATGGTGTATGTATTATGTATGTATAACTAAAGAAGGTTTGAGGGTCAAAGAAGGAAGGAAGATGGAAGGAGGTCTATTTTGCTCTTCAAAGCTTTTGGAAATTTTGCTAACCTTGAATTCTGAAGGAAGAGGTCCTATTTATAGAATTTGAGCCAATTTGGTTGAAAATATCTTAAAACAAAGATATTTGTTCAATTCCCGCCAACTGTCTATTTGGCGTTATTGAGACCTGGTCGAGCCTCAAAACCCACGACCGAGCCCAAAAACACATGGCCAAGCCTAAAAAGCAAGTCTGGAAAAGTTTTCATTGAGACCCGGCCGGGCCTAAATGAGGCATGGGCGGTTCTAAATATCCCCGGCCTGGTCCAAAAATCTGCATTTCAGGCTCGACTTCAAACGGGCATATCTTCCTCATCCGAACTCGGTTTTACGTGATTCTTGAGTCTAAATTAAAGCCTCGGAAGTCCACTTTCCAATGGTGTAACCTCACATCTAAATTCTAAGTGTGCAAAGAGATATGACTATTTTAGTGAAGGATGCTCATTCTTTCTCAATGGTTTGATGCTCATCTTCTTCCTAAATTAGTTTTCTTCTCTCTCCTTCTATTTCCTTCGACTCCAACCTATAAATAAGATGTTTTGAAAGATTTTTCAAAGAGTTCACCCCCTTCCATGTATCTCCACTTTGTCCTTACTTGGTTTATCGAAAAGTGTAGTATTTTAAACGAAATGCGAGCCTCAAAACATCGTAGAAACATTTGGAAAAATAATTTGAAAATGAGGGTTTTAAGGTCTAAAATAGTTTGGCGAAAATGGGGTGCAAGGTTTGGGATTAGAGCTTGAATCCAAATTTCTTCACTGAGAACTCAAAAGATTGCATAGTGTAACTTTCATCATCGGGTGTTTGGAATAAAGCGTCCACGCCTTAAATGCGGTAAAAAATGGGGTGTCTACAGTTGCCCCTCTTTGACAGAGCTCGAAGTTATGAAATGACGTGAGTGAAAGTCAAAGCCCGAAGACGACCAATTTCAACAAGGTCGTAAGACTTGTGAAAACAAACAAAATGCAAATGCAGTTGGTAGAACCCGAGGGTTGCCTACATATCTTGTTGCAATGAATCAAACCAACGTAGTTCAGGGGCAGAATGAAAAATGATACATAATGTAACGAAATAATCAAACCATAAGCAGTGCCTTCTACACAAATATCATAAAGGAATGGAGATGCAAATCAAACTACATTTTATATAGAAAAGAAGTGTGGGCACGAG